TGAGAAGGGAAGCAAGAAAGATACTGACCTTCAACCAAAACATTTCTTGTTTTTTCCTTTGAGATTTTTTTTTTCTTCTCCTTTCCTGTTTTCCCGCCCTCACATCCCCAACTTACGTGAAACCAAGTACTTTAGGTGAATTAGGATTTTGAGGTCTGGAACATCTGAATAGTATATTACAGTTGTGTTGTATATTCTTTTTTTTTTCCTTCCAATTTTTACTATTTTAACATTTTTGTTTTTCTTAATATATATCTGGGTTTTTTAAAATTTTTTTATACTTTTGTTTTATTTATTTTTATGTGGTGCTGAGGATCGAACCCAGGGCCTTGCAAGCGCTCTACCACCCAGCCACAACCCCAGCCCATCTGTTTGTTTTATGTACTCTACTGTCTTCCCACTTACTTGTCTACCCAAAATTACTTCCTCTCTATTCTGCTACTAACCTTCTTCTTTAGATTTCTCTTCCACACTTCCTAAGATATAATAATTCTACATCTTTACCTTCTACCTCCTCAGCATATTATCCTACACCTCACCCCTAGTTCTTTGTTTACCATCAGAAACTATAAACCCTTTATAAACCTACCAATTATATTATAGATAATAATTGAATTCATCATTTCTGTACATTGTGACCAAACTGTAAATGTCTTAATAGCAACTGTTTTTAAGGCTGTATATTGTTTATATTGGGATCTGTTAACTTTGTCGTTCCCCTCAAAGGAGAGGTATTGGAACCCTACAGGATCAGTATAAGCCTATAGGATAAAAACAAAAACACCTCGGATCCACAGTACTAGAAAGCGAGACACACAAGCAACATGAAAAGACAAGGAAGGAACGTCCCCCAAACAAATCAAGATAATACATTATTAGAATCCATGGCCAGCACATCAGAGGAGGAGTTCAGGATGTACATAATTAAAATGTTCTGTGAATTAAAGGATGATATCAGCGAGCAAATACAGGCAGCAAAAGATCATTTTGACACAGAGCTACATAAACAAATACAGGAAGCAAAAATTACTTCAGTAGGGAGTTAGAGGTTCTGGGAAAAAATCCTTGAAATAAAAGAAACAATAAATCAAATTAAAAGTTCTATTGAAAGCATCACCAACAGAATAGACCACTTGGAAGACAGGATGTCAGACAATGAGGACAAAATATATAATCTCAAAAATAATGTAGACCACACAGGGAAAATGGTAAGAAACCAGGACCAGAACATTTAAGATATATGGGATAGCATAAAAAGACCAAATTTAAGAGTTATTGGGATAAAGGAAGGCATAGAGGTCCAAACCAAAGGAATGAACAATGAAATAATATCAGAAAATTTTCCAAACATGAAGAATAGATTGGAAAACCAGATTCAAGAGGCTACAGAACACCAAATGTATAAAATCACAACAGATCCACACCAAGACACATTACAATGAAAATGCTTAACATACAGAACAAGGAGAGAATATTAAAAGCCATGAGAGAAAGGAATCAGATTACATATAGGGGGAAAACAATTAGGTTACGTGCAGATTTTTTAAACCAGACCCTGAAAGCTAGAAGATCGTAGAACAACATCTGACAGGCTCTGAAAGAAAATGGATGCCAACCAAGAATCTTATATCCAGCAAAAGTAAGCTTTAGATTTGATGATGAAATAAAAAACCTTCCATGATAAACAAAAGTTAAAAGAATTTCCAACTAGAAAGCCTGCACTACAGAACATCCTCAGCAAAATATTCCATGAAGAGGAATTGAAAAACAAAATGAAAATCAGCAGAGCGAGGTATTAAACTAAAGGAAGAATTAATCAAAGGAGAAACCAAGTCAAGTTAAATAACAAAAATGACTGGGAATACAAATCATGTCTCAATAATAACCCTGAGTGTTAATGGCCTAAACTCACCAATCAAAAGACATAGGCTAGCAGATTGGATCAAAAAAAAAAAAAAAAAAAAGACCCAACAATATACTGCCTCCAGAAGACTCATCTCATAGGAAGAGACATCCACAGACTGAAGGTGAAAGGTTGAGAAAAATCATACCACTCACATGGACTGCAGAAGCAAGTAGGGATTTCCATCCTCTTATCAAATAAAGTATACTTCAAGCTAAAGTTAATCAAAAGGCATAAAGAAGAACACTTCATATTGCTCAAGGGAACCATACACCAACAAGACTTAACAGTTATAGATATATATGCCCCAAACAATGGAGCATCTATGTTCATCAAACAAATTCTTCTCAAGTTCAAGAGTCAAGTAGACCACAACACAATTATTTTGGGTGACTTTAACACACCTCTTTCACCACTGGACAGATCTTCCAAACAAAAGCTGAACAAAGAAACTATAGAACTCAATAATACAATCAATAACTTAGACTTAACTGACATATATAGAATATTTCATCCTTCAATGAGTGAGTATACTTTCTTGTCAGCAGCACGTAGATCCTTCTCTAAAATAGACCATATATCATGCCACAAAGCACCTCTTAGCAAATATAAAAATGTAGAGATACTACCCTGCATGCTATCAGATCATAATGGAAAGAAATTAGAAATGAATGATAAAATTTTTTTTAAAAGCTACTCCAATACCTAAAGATTAAATAATATGCTACTGAATGAACAATGAGTTGCAAAAGACATCTAGGAGGAGATTAAAAATTCTTAGAGGTGAATGAGAATACAGATAAAACGTATTGAAATCTCTGGGACACTGTGAAGGCAGTGCTAAGAGGAAAGTTTATTGCATGGAGTTCATTTCTTAAAAGAAGAAAAAGTCAACAAATAGATGACCTAACTACATCTCAAAGCCCTAGAAAAAGAACAAATCAACACAAAAATCAATAGAAGACAGGAAATAATTAAATTAGAGCTGAAATCAATGAAATTGAAACAATTGAAAAAACTGACAAAGCAAAAAGTTAGTTCTTTGAAAAAATAAATAAAGTTGACAACCCTTAGCCATGCTAATGAAGAAAAGGAGAGAGAAAACTCAAATTACTAACATATATGATGAAAAAGGTAATGTCACAGCAGACAGTACAGAAATACAGAAGGTAATTAGAAATTATTTTGAAAATTTGTACTCCAGTAAAATAGAAAATATCAAAGGCATTGACAAATTTCTAGAGTCATATGATTTGCCCAAATTGAATCAGAATGATATACACAGTTTAAACAGATCACTTTCAAGCAATGAAATAGAAAATATCATCAGAAGCCTACCAACCAAGAAAAGCCCAGCACCAGATGGATACACAGCCAAATTCTACAAGACCTTTAAAGAAGAACTAATACCAGTATTCTTCAATTTATTTCAGGAAATAGAAAAAGAGGGAGCACTTCCAAACTCATTCTGTGAGGCCAATATCATCCTGATTCCTTCCAAAGGCAGGCAAAGACATTGAAAGAAAGAGAACTGCAGACCCATATCTCTAATGAACATAGATGCAAAAATTCTGGCAAATTGAATACAAAAACATACCAAAAAGATAGTATATCATGATCAAGTGGGATTCATTCCAGGGATGCAAGATTGGTTCAATATATGGAAATCAATAAATGTAATTTATTACATCAATAGACTTAAAGATAAGAATCATACGATCATCTCAAAAGATGCAGAAAAAGCATTCAATAAGATACAGCACCCTTTCATGTTCAAAACACTAGAAAAACTAGGGATAATAGGAGCACATCTCAATATTATAAGAGCTATCTATGCTAAGCCCCAGGCCAACATCATTCTAAATGGAGAAAAGTTGAAAGCATTCCCTCTAAAAACTGGAACAAAACAGGGATGCCTTCTCTCACCATTTCTATTTAACATAATTCTTGAAACACTGGCCAGAGCAACTAGATGAAGGAAATTAAAGGTATTCAGATAAGAAAAGAAGAAATCAAACTAGCACTATTTGCTGATGATATGATTCTATACATAGAGAAATTCCACCAGAAAACTTCTACAACTAGTAAATGAATTCAGCAAAGTAGCAGGGTACAAAAACACCCATAAATCCAAAGCGTTTTCTATACATCAGTGACAAATCCTCCGAAAAGGAAATGAGGAAAACTACCCATTTACAATAGCCTCCAAAAAAATAAAATACTTGGGAATCAACCTAATGAAAGAGGTGAAAGATCTCTAAAAACCACAGAATGCTAAAGAAAGAAATTAAAGAAGACAAAGTCAAAAATCAATAAATGGGATGGATTCAAACTAAAAAGCTTCTTCTCAGCAAAAGAAACAATCAGTGAACTGAATAGAGAGCCTACATGTTGGGAGCAAATTTTTACCACTTGCACTTCAGATAGAGCACTAATCTCAAGGATATATAAAGAACTCAAAAAGCTAAACACCAAAAAAATAATCAATAAGTGGGCCAAGGACCTAAACAGACACTTCTCAGAAGAGGATATACAATCAATCAACAAATATATGAAAAAATGCTCATCATCTCTAGCAATTAGAGAAGTGCAAATCAAAACTACACTAAAATTTTATCTCACTCCTGTCAGAATGGCAACTATTATGAAAACAAACAATAAGTCTTGTAAAGAAGATTATTAAGAAAGGGGATTAGATCATTTAACATTTATTTTTCCAAAGTATTTGAGATGTTCAAATGAAAACTAATGGACGTTTCCAGTGAAGATTCATGAAAGAATGAATATCTTGTGGCTGTAAAAAATATACTTGAGAGGCTGGTGTTGTGGCTCAGCGGTAGAGTGCTCGCCTAGCACGGGCGGGACCCAGGTTTGATCCTCAACAACCACATAAAAATAAAAGGCATTGTGTAGTGTCCATCTACACCTAAAAAGTAAAAATATTATATATGTGTGTGTGTGTATGTGTGTGTGTGTGTGTGTGTGTGTGTATGTATATATATATATTTGAGTATATTTGGTTTTTTTCAGGTATTTTATATCTTAAAGTAATTTAAAAATACCAAGAATCATAACAATTATATGTTTTTCTAATTAGGATCCAGTATATGGAAAAGGAAAACTTGGAGAAATCCAGGGTCTTATTCTGGGAATGTTAGATACCTTTAACTATGAACAAGTAAGTAAATCACTTTTTATTATCTGAGTATGCCCTAAGGTAGAAAAAAAGCTATTTTTATAATTTTCTTTTTTTCCCCTTTGCCTCCATATTTTTTCTTTAAAAATTGCCATCTCTTTACTGAAAGTAAGGTAAATTGAGATAAGTGTACCTTTTTCATCACATATGTTAGTAATTTGAGTTTTCTCTCTCCTTTTCTTCATTAGCATGGCTAAGGGTTGCCAACTTTATTTATTTTTTCAAAGAACTAACTTTTTGCTTTGTCAGTTTTTTTAGTTGTTTCAATTTCATTGATTTCAGCTCTAATTTTAATTATTTCCTGTCTTCTATTGCTTTTTGTGTTGATTATGGTAGAAAAAAAGCTATTTTTATAATTTTCTCTTTTTTTATCCTTTGCCTCCATATTTTTTCATTAAAAATTGCCATCTCTTTACTGAAAGTAATGTAAATCGAGATAAGTGTATATTTTCCCCCTATTTTTAAATTTCTCTTGACCTTAATTTACATGTATATACTTATTCTAAAATATGGAAATGCATCTAATTCAGAATTGTTTTTGATTGACAGTGAGACTAATACCTACCTTTCAAAATGAAATTACAAAAATCTTTCTGGAAAAATAATTGCTGATAAAACTATAACTCATGAAAAGGATGGTCAGTATATATATATATATATATATACGCAAAATAAAATTAAATTAAATGAGTTATTTTTAATATTTTGAAACAGATCATTGCCACTAGCCAAAAATGGTCATTAGTCTTCCCTTAACTTTCAATTTCTTGTAGCTTTAATTCTCAGTTAAGAACCAGCTTGGTGGACATGTATTTTTCTTAGGAAAAGTTCCATTTAGGTATGTTACAGCTCCCCCCCCCCTAAGAATATGAGAGAGAAGCAAAAGAATAATTTGGGAGATAGAGTTTTTCTTAGATGTTGTAAAACTTGCAGCTTTGCTAGGCATAAGCCAGTGAAGTTTGATACCCCTGCAGGCACAGAGACCAGGGTAGCAGAAGAAAAAGTAAAGCTGAGTACAAGGTGGGAAATTTTTGCCAATTGCAGAGCTATAGAAGAAGAGAAAATGATGGCATTGATTGGAAAGAACTAGGATAGTTAGGTAATTAAAACTAAAAGTTTTATATTGCAATTTATAAAGCTAAGTTTTATAGCAAGGAGGGTGGACAGTATATAGTTCCATCTTCCACTTTGGGTTGACAAAAAAGAACCCAGCTGAGTAAAATTCCATTGTGTATATATGACACATTTTTTTTATCCATTCATCCACTGAAAGGCATCTGGATTGGCTCCACAGTTTAGCTATCGTGAGTTGTACTGTAAACATTGATGTGTCTGTATCCCTGTAGTATGCTGTTTTTAAGTCCCAAGGAGAGGGATAGCTGAGTCAAATGGTGGTTCCATTCCCAGATTTCCAAGGAATCTCCATACTGTTTTCCAAATTTGCTTCACCAATTTGCAGTCCCACCAGCAGTTTATGAGTGTACCTTTTTCCCCACATCTTTACCAACACTTATTGTTGTTTGTCTTCATAATAGCTGCCATTCTGACTGGAGTGAGGTGTATCTTAGAGTAGTTTTGATTTGCATTTCTCTGGTTGCTACAGATGATGAGCAGTATAAAGATATAAATTGGCATGAACATACTTTATATACAAAAATRTGAAAAATTTGCTCTATATGTGTAATAAGAATTGTAATGCATTCCACTTTTGTGTATTTAAAAAAAATAAAATCAATAAACAAAAAAATCCAGCTGTATATCCAAATGATAAAAAATGAATGTTGAGAATTAGTTTAGTATGGAAACAATACTTTATAAGCACAAGAGCCTTAAGATGACTTAATGTGATAATTGTGAGAATTCTTTATGTAACTTACTGACAATGGCAGAGTCTTTTGAGTGGATCACAATGATTTATGAGTGCTGATCAGGAAAATGTGATCCCTGCCCAAGGGAGATGAAAACTGAGTAATGACCATTAGCTTTTTCAGCGAAAGGTTATTTGAAACATTGCCGTGAATGCAGTTTCGATAAAAAACCAGCATTCCAGACTGTTCTTTGTTACAATAGCCTGAGCTATCAAGACAGAAGTTATTATATAAATGTAATAAATAGATTTGAGCTTATCTAGTTGTTTGAAAGCCATCAATTAAATTAAACTGGATTAAACCACAGAATGGCAGAATACACATTTCTCAGTAGGAATTAGTGACAGACTTGAGCCTTGTTATACTGTACATTAACTACTTGAGTTTTGGGGGGTTTGATGTTTGTCTCATCAATTTTATCTTCTAGTTTCAGTTGTTTGTAGTTGAAAACTAAACAAGTTCTGTTCTCCATTCTTCTCTACCTTTCATTTGATAACCTTGTTTGTTTTTTGTTTTGGTCTTTCATAGACCCTGCTTGAAACAACAACTAGCCTTCTAAACCAAGATCTCCATTGGTCATTGTGTAACCTGAGAGCTTCTGTCACGAGAGGATTGAATCCCAAACAGGATTATTGCTCTATATGTTTGCAACAGTATAAGAGACGCCAAGAAATGGCCGATGAAATTATTGTCTTTAGGTAAGAGAAAGAAGGATTACTGTCTGGAGTGTGTACATGTGTGCTATAGCCAGGCAGGAATTCATGTGTCACTCAAGCAGTGAATAGGACAGGCAAAGTTCTTGTCCTCACAGACCTTATTTATGTTCTGCATCGGAGTGAGGTGAGGTAGAAGTTAGGGTGCTCAGACAGTAAATAAATACCAAGCAATGAAGAAAAATGAAACACAAGGCAGGGGGATGGAAAGAAGAAGTGTTCTGGTTAAGAGTTCTGTCTTAAGAAAGCACAATGAAGAGAGGCATCTCTTAAGGTGACATTGGAGCAGAATGAGAGGTAGGAGTGAAGGTGCTGGGAGGTGTTTGGATTCAGGACATATTTTAAGGGCAGAGCTAACATGCTGGTGTATTTGATATGGGGTATGGGGAGAAAATGAAGTCTTTAGCCTTAGTAACTGGGTGAATATGGTACCCTTGCCTGAGACAGGAGGAACAAGTATAAGGAAGTGGGGAAATCCAGAATTTGACCTTATAGATGTTAGGTTTGATATAACCCTTTGACATCCATGTAGAATTGTCCAATAGACAGATTCTAGTCATAAATCAGAAGACATATTGGGCTAGTAACACAAGTTTAGGAATCATTAGCATGTGAATGATATTTAAGCCACAATACAAAGAAAGAAGTCGTCTAGTGCAGAAGTGTAGGGGTTAATCTCAGGAGCAAAAACAGTTCATTCAAAATACATGAATAGAGACAACATAATATGGATTCTGGAGCCAATCTTCTTAAGTTCAAATCCTGACTATGCCAACCAAATATGAGCTATGATCCTTTGGACAAATTAATTAATCTTTTTGTATATTGGTTTTCTTATCAATTGAGATGGTAATAATACCTACATCTGAGGGCTTTGGAAAATTAAATGAGAAAATTATATAAGGTACTATGAACAGTTCCTTGCATGAGTAAATACTATATCAGTGTTAGCTATGCAGGAGGATTGGTAGATTTGGAGGTTAGAAGAGAAAATAGCACCTCACAAAGAACCCATTCATTCAACATATTTATTGAGCACCTACTATATAGCAGGTACAGTTCAAGGGAATAGGGGATGGCATGAAGAAAGCAAAAGAACTGCCCTTAAGAAGTTTGTGTTCTAGTAGCAGGGGCAGATAAAAACAAATAAGTGAAATCCCAGATGGTGGTAACTACTATGGAAAAAAGTAAAACACATTGAGGGACAAGGTGATTCAAGGTTCCTTCAGGGACAAGAGGATACAAGATGTGGACATTTTGTGGAGTGGTCAGGGAGTGCCTCATGTCTCACTGTTAAAGTAACTTAAAAACACATAATTTAGAAAAATTATTAAAAATTTGATTAATAATTACATTAATAAAAATAAAACTTGTATAGAGGAAAGATTATTGGGAACTTTGCTAATTTATAAAGACTAGTCAGGAAAAGCCTTGCTGTCTAGTGACATTTAGAGACCTAAGGAAGTAACTATGGAACTTCGGGGGAGAGTGTCCCCAGCAGAATGGACCAATGAGTGTGGAGACTGTGAGACAGCATCACTGCTGGCACACTTGAGCTATAGTGAGTGAGTAGGCTCTGGACCTGAGCAGAAGAAAGGAATGAGAGGATGACAAAAGAGGACTTCAAAGGAGAAGCAGAGGCCGTATCTGGGTTATTATGAGAAGTAGGCTTCTCTGAGATGAGAACCCACTGGGTGGGTTTGTTGGATTGGATTGTTTGGGTTTTTGTTTGTTTTTTGTATCAGGGATTGAAACCAGGGGTGCTTTACCACTGAGCCATATCCCCAGCCCTTTTTAAATTTTTTTAAATTTTCAAACAGGTCTCACTAAGATGCTTAGGGCCCAACTAAGTTGCTGAGGCTGGCTTTAAACTTGCAATCCTCCTGCCTCAGCCTCCTGAGCCATTAGGATTACAGGTGTGCACCACCATGCCCAGCTCACTGGGTGGTTTTGAGGATAGGTCTTCTGGGTCAGTTTGATTTCTGTGTTGAGAAGGAGCTATAGAAAGTCAAGAGGGAATGCAGGGGGACCAGTCATGCTTTTGCAATAGCCCATGTGGGGGAAGGATGGCAATAACAAAAAAGTTCAGAAGTGGGAGGATTCTGGACATGTTGTGAAGGTAGAGCTGATAGAATTTGCTTATAAATTAAATGTGTAGTGTGAAAGAAAGAAAATAGATCACTCCAAATTTCTTGGCCTGAAAAACTGCAAGAATGTAAGTTGGATGAAAGTATTCAGTGGAGATAGAGTAAGGTGGAAATCAGGATTTTGGTTTTGAACCTGTTAAATTTAAGATAGCATTAGACATCCAAAACAGAGTTCTTGAGGAGTCAGACAGGTAGGGTTTAGGGAAGAGGGCTGAGCTGAAGGCATAAATGTGGTAGTCATGAACTTCTAGGTGATATTTTAAAGTTTTGGAACTAGAAGTAAACACTATAGGAGCAACAGTAGGTGGGGAAAGGAAGAGTGTACAGGAAACAGGTTATATATATATTTTAAGTATAGAGAAGAGAAAGAGTGTAAAGACTACAGAAGAGAAAAGGATTGACTTCTGGGATAGTTCAACATTTCAAGTTGGAGAAAGGCCAAGGATGATTGAGAGGCATAATCAGTGCTCACCTCCCAAAAGCCCTTTTGGTACTAAAAGTTCTTTTGGAACATCTTCATAGAAATACTGAAAGAATTTACTGTAGCAATGAGTTTTTTGTCAGTGTTTTATCTAAACATAACTCTTGTCTTGAGTTCAGTGAGACAGACCACTCATGGTGTTTTCAAGCTACTTGTGTTATTATGATTTTTTCTGCTTGTCCTTTTTTAACCTGAAAATACGGTCAGAATTTTGAGAAATGAACAGAAGTTCAGCTTATCTTCCATGAGAACTATGATTCTATTCCTACTCACAACTTAAGGATACAGATATGTTTGTTAGGATTTTTAAAAAGAGAGGACAACAGTGAATACATTCCTTTTTCTATTTCTTGTCCTGTACCAGCATCAGTACATTCCAGATTGTTAGAGCCTTTATTGTATATAAGTACACTCTATCATACTTTATGGACTTATGACAATGGAAAGTGTGAGTTGGTTAACTTCATTTTGCAGCTGTGGCCATTTGTATCATTCATTCTGTCTACAAAACAAAGAATGCACCATCGAAATTGAGGGCCAAACAAGATGGACGTGCTACAAATGCAACTCAAGTAAACAAGTAGGAAAACCAAGTGAGAATTCATCTGAAATTAAAAAGGGAAAGATAACACCATCACAGGTAAGACTCGTTTCAGTGGCAAGGTGCACATGGTCTTTTCTTGCCAATGTCCTTTGGTCCTGGGCTCATTTTCTTCCGGCTCCATATCACTCTCAACAGATTTACCTGACTGTCCTCTATTAAATCCTATTTAGTGTTTGAAGGACCTCTCCTCTCTGCTCAGCACCAAAACCCAAGAAGATATGTTCTCCTTTTAAAAACCTTGAAACGAGCTGAACAGAGAGGATATACTCATGAGTGTACTTTTAAGAACCTTTGACAGAGTAAGAGGTCAGCAAGTACAGATGAGTACTTAACAAATATTAAGGACATTTACCATTCCCCAGGTGATGGACATTAGCTGTCCCACAGGTGAAGGACATTTACTGTCCCACAGGTGATGGACATTAGCCGTCCCACAGGTGAAGGACATTCACAGTCCCACAGGTGAAGGACATTAGCCGTCCCACAGGTGATGGACATTAGCCGTCCCACAGGTGAAGGACATTTACTGTCCCACAGGTAATGGACATTAGCCGTCCCACAGGTGAAAGACATTAGCTGTCCCACAGGTGAAGGACATTCACAGTCCCACAGGTGATGGACATTCACAGTCCCACAGGTGAAGGACATTCACTGTCCCACAGGTGAAGGACATTTACCATGCACAAGAGTATACTCACCACTTCTACAGTGCTGATGATGGACAAGGTGGCCAACATGGGTGTGCTGTATGTGGTTTTCTCAATTTGATAACTTTCTTTAAAAATCTTGATGCTCTGGTGTTCCCTGAGAAGTTTTTCATTGCCTTCAGAGTCTGATTAATGGATTAGACAATTTTAATTTATTTTATAGCATTTTTTTTATTTTGCAATTTTTTTATTTATTCTGATTTGTTATATGTGACAGCGGAATGTGATAYAATTTATATTATACACATAGAGCACAATTTTTCATATCTGGTAGTACACAAAGTAGAGTCACACCATTCATATCTTCATACATGCACTTAGGGTAATGATGTCCATTAAAAACGGGCAGTGGAGCAGAGTTTGAACTCTCCTGCCTGATAGCTTTTGGGGAAACAGAACTTGACAACGCAAGGGGTTCAATGTGAATAATTTACTAGGGCTGTGTCCTTATATTGTGCTGTACTCACTATATTTCCTCTTTGAATTCTAACTACATTTGCTGCATCTTGCCCCTTCTTCTGTTCCACACTATCCTATAATCAGGCTTCACATCACATAGTGAAACTTAGTCCAGTTACTTTACTCTTTTGTGTCGTCAACTTTCAGTGTTTTATCAGAAGCAGACCCACGACCAGCTTTTCTCCCAGATAAGAGTTTAGAATTTCAGTATTAAGAAGCAGACATTCTTTTTACATATTCTCCAAGTGCATATTGAGCAGTATGCCAGGCACTCTGCTAGGTGCTGGAGATAAAAGGGTAGCCAAGACAAATATGATCTTGTCTTGTTTACAGGCAGTAAAATTATAAGCAGATTTTTAATACATGCTCCTGAGTTCTAATTCTAAATGTGTTATGTTTTCTTTTCAGCACCAGTTCTGACACCAAAATTCTATTCATTCTCTGGACACCAACTGAGAGTCCAACAATTTAATTCAATACTCTTAAGAACTTGAAGTTAGAGATTTAATGGTTTAAGTGTTTAGACCCACAAGGCTTCTCTCATGTCAGATGGAAGGTTACAACCATGGTAGCACACTTCTGTCCAAGTTGGCTACACATTCAGGGGTCCCAACAACCCACCCCCAGTTTTGATAGTTTAGTAGAATAACTCACAGAACTGAGGAAAACACCTTATTTACATTTACTAATGTTTTTATAAAGGCTACAACTTGGTTGGGCATAAACACTTACAAAGATTCCATGCCTTCTCTGGGCCACTACCTTTCCAACAAGTCTGTGCCTTCACCCACCCAGAAGATCCTTAGGCCCCAGTATTTAGAGATGTTATTATGTACACATGGTTGATTAAATCTTTGGTCATTTGTGATTGAAGTTGATCTCTAGCCTCTCTCACCTCCCCAGAAATTAGGAAGTGGGGCAGAAAATTCAAAATCTGTATTTATGGCTTGGTCTTTCTGGCAACCAACCATCATCCCAAAGCTATCCAGGGGCCTAGCCACCCATCATGTCATTAGCATACAAAAGAGACTCTTATCACTCAGGAGATTCCACAGGTTTTAAGTGCTCCCAGGAATGAATGAAAAAAAAAATATATATATATATAAACCAAACATGAAAGGTTATAGAAGATTTTCTACAAGTGCTAGCCTTGAAGGAATAAAAGGAGGAAGCAAGAGAAATTTAGAAAGAAAGGTAGGCAAGAGAAGTAGCACTGTAGGCAGTGGAACACTGTGCAGAACAAACAGCATCTCTACTCTGAAGCAGAAAGGCACATAGAGCTAAAAGTCAAGCATAATGAATCTGTGGAGTGAAAGGGAGTAATAGGAGATGAGGCTAGATAGGTGAACCAGACTATATTAGTTATTTTAATGTTTGCACTAAAAGAATAGGAAGAAATGGAGAGGTTGTTTGTTTGTTTGTTTGTTTGTTTTTAACCCAAGGGTACTTCACCACTAAGCTACATTCCTAATCCTGTTTACTTTTTTATTTGAGACGGGGTCTTGCTACGTTCCCAACTAGCCTTGAACTTGCAGTTCTCCCTCCTTAGCATCTTGAGTCCCTGTACCACCACATCTGGCCATGGATGGGTTATTTTTGTTTTGTTTTATGTTTTTTGGTACCAGGGATTGAACTCAGGGGCACTCACCACTGAGCCACATCCCCAGAACTATTTGGTATTTTATTTAGAGACAGGGTCTCACTGCGTTGCTTAGCACTCGCTTTTGCCGAGGCTGGCTTTAAACTTGCAATCCTCCTGCCACAGCCTCCCAAGCTGCTGGGATTACAGACATGTGCTCCACACCCAGCTCAGGGATGGGTTTTAAGGAAGAAATTATATGAACTGATCAGAAGAGCGTTTTTTTCCCTTCTTCCAAACAGTATTTCAAAAAGAACACTCTAACTGCAATGCAGAAAATAAATTAAAATGGAAGCAAGAGTCAAGCACAGCAGCACAAGCCTGAAATCCCAACAATTCAGGAGACTGGGGCAGGAGGCTCACAGGATGGATAATAGCTTATGAGACTGTGTCTCAAAAATTTCTTTAAAGGTGAGGAGGTCCTTGGCTGGACATGGTGGTGCACGCCTGTAATCCAGCCACTCAGGAGGCTGAGGCAGGAGGATGAAGAATTCAAAGCCAGCCTCAGCAACTTAGTGAGCCTCAAGCAACATAGTGAGACCCTGTCTCATATCAAAAAGGTCTGGGGGATGTGGCTCACTGGTTAAACCACCCTGGGTTCAATCCAGGTAGCCTCACCCCCCAAAAAAGAGGAGGATGTCCTGAGAATGTAGCTCAATGGTAAAACATCCCTAAGTTCAATCTCCAGTACAAAAAAAAAAAAAAAAAAAATGGAAGCAAGAATGGATATAAAGAGACGAATAGACTGTTGAAGTAGAGATGTGGTAATTTATACTAAAATGGTAGAACTGGAGTTGGAGAAGAAAATACTTATTTGAAATGTGTTTGAGATGAGCACAACATCAAAATAATTAATATGGTTCTTGCTCACTTCACTAGCCTCATCTCTATCACTCTCACCCTCTAGATTGAATCATACTCAACTTCTAGTTTCATCCAAAAGAGAATTTGCAACAGAGATGCTCTATGTAATAAACAGAATTATCATAACTTGATAAGTATATTTGTAAAATAGAGTGGGAAAGACAGAAGGAGGATTCAAAAATTACATGCAGGTCTCTTTATTGAACAACAGCACAAGATGGTTGTACTACTTACTAACAGAACAATAAACAACAGCTTTAGAAATAAGATAATTCATTGCTGAAATTAGAGATGACTACAAGACATACAGACAAAGATGTTTGGTATGGTTTCCATACTGAAAATTTCACTAACTAGTCATGTAAAACACTTTCTTGTTTGCATTCAAAAAAGACAGGACTTGGGCTGGGGCTGTAGCTCAGTGGCAGAGTGTTTGTCTAGCACATGTGAGGCCCTAAGTTTGATCCTCAGCACCACATAAAAATAAATGGAATAAAAGTATTAAAGAAGAAAAGACAAGATGTGATTTCCATCATTTTCTAGACTGAATCTAATGCAAATGAGTGAACTTTTTTTATGCACATGCTTCAGGCATTACATCTTGGGGCTCTTTAGTATTTTTCCTTTTAGTTATATCCCAACATAACCAACCTAAGATTACATGAATCTTCTTGCCTGGATATTACCAATTAGATATGCTTTCATTCTTTATAGACAGTATTTAGCACTAAAATAGACTTTTCTCCTTTAAAAAATTTATAAATGGGAAAATTCACTTGTGAAGATTGACAACCACCTCCACAGTCAAAATATAGAGCAATTTTAGCCAGACGTGGTGTCACATTCCTGTAATTCCAGAGGCTTGGTAGGCTAAGGCAGAAGGATCACATGTTCAAAGCCAGCCTCAGCAACTTAGTGAGGCCTTAAACAACTTAGTGGGACCCTGTCTCTAAATAAAACACTTAAAAAGGGCTGGRGATGTGGCTCAGTGGTCAAGTGCCCCTGTGTTCAATCCCCGGTACAAAAAAAAAAAAAAAGATATAGAGCAATGTTAATTCCTCCCTTCAAAAGACTCATATTTCTTGGTAGTCAACCTTTCCTGGTTGGACCTCAACTCCAGGCAATCACTATAACCCCATTCTTACATAGGATATGAAATATGTATGGAGATTCCTTCTTTTGTGTGCAGATATCTGTTGACTTGCTTCTGCATTTTAGATAAAGTCAGTCTACTGTATATGTGTGGGTCTATTTCTGAATCTTATGTTTTGCTTCATTCTGGTCTGTGTGTCCTTTCTCTAGTAATGTAGCTTTCTAGTAAATCTGGTTATCAGGTAGTATTAGTCTTCCAACTTTGTTCTAACCTT